TATAGTGAGATTCAGAAGCTCTGGCCCTCAAGGGACCTAGATGCCTGGGGCTGGCTGACCAATGATCTGAGGAGTGAGGGAAGCATAATAGGTGCGGTGAGAGGAATGTGTGGGGAGGAGGTGGATGGGGTGGGGAGTGGGAAGTTAGCAGAGATTTCATCCAGAAAGGGACCCATACTCAGCACAGCGCAGTGGGGACAGATGGGGCTGAAATAGGAGGCAGAGGCCAGATTGTGGAAGGTGATTGAATCCCAGCGCTGAGTTCCGGGAATGCAGTGTTGGCCCATACAACACAGGCCCTGTGTCTTAAGTCCTGCAAGAGTAGATATTCAATAAACGTGCTCTTCCTCCGTCTGGTTTCCTGGGCTGCGAATCCAGGTGAGATAGCTGTACCTTTTCCTCCCTTCAGCACCTCTCCCGCCCAAAGAAGATGCCACCCCACCCTTTCAACTCGGGCTGTCGTAATTGTTCTGTACTTTGATAAGGCGCAAAGGGCTCATTATGTAAATTCAGGGGGAAAACCCTCCAAATTATGAATTACATCCGTATTAATAAACATTTTAATTAACACTTACCAACTGCCAACAGTGTGTTAGGTGTAAGTAACAGGTGGATGTAGGCGGAAGTAAGGAGACGAGAAAGCCACTACTTCATTTCTACTTCAGGAATTTCAAGAAACAATTCAGCCCTCGCCACTCTCACTCAGTGGATTGAGTGTCAGCCTGTGGAGCAAAGGGTCCTGGGTTCAATTCTGGTCAAGGCCATGTACCTTGGTTGCAGGCTCCTCCCCAGCCCGGACTCTGGCCTTGGTCGGGGCTCCTGCAGGAGGCAACCAATCGATGTGTTTCTCTTACATCGGTGTTTCTCTCTGTCTTTTCCTCTCTCTTCCACTCTCCCTAAAAATCAATGGACAGATATCCTCTGGTGAGGATTAACAACAACAAAATAGAAACAATTCATATGCTTATCTCTTCTTAAGAGCAAACTTGTAAATTCTACTGAACTCTGAAACTATCGACAATACACAAATATTTAACTTTGCCATTTCGATGTAAATATTTAGTAATAAATTAACATTTGTAGGGTGCCTCTCATTTTAGACTCATTCATTAATTCAATTCATGTATTCAACAGGTATTTAATAGATGTAGCAAGCATTGTTCTAGGCACCAGGATACAGCAATGGGTGAATAGGACAAGTCCTTGATCTTAAAAAGTTTACATTCTGGTGAACAAAGACAGACAATAAGGAAATCAACAAGTAATATGAAGTGGTGATAAATGTTATAGGAAAACGTAAAGCAGGGTGTGTGTGTGTGTGTGTGTGTGTGTGTTAGGTGGCATTTGAGTGACAGGGTTTTCTGATGGCTTAGATTTAGGGTGTGAGAGAAAGAAGTGTCAAGTTGGCTCCTAGGTTTTTTACTTGAGCAACTGGAAAAATGGAATTTCCATGTACTGATACTAGGGAAGCCTGTGGGGTGCAAAGCAGGATTTGGAATTGGATTTTGGACATGTGAGGTCACATAGGTGAGGACATAGGTGGTTCAGTACACCGAGCTGGAGTTCGGAGGAAAGGTTGGAACTGGAGATATAAATTTAGAAGTTTTCAGCCTGTAGATTTTTTTTAAAACTAGGAACGTAGGTGTGACCATCAAGGGAATGAGTGTGGACAGAGAAGAGATCCAGGGCCTGAGCCCTGGGTGTGCCTCTTTTGAGAGGTCTGTGAAGTGGAGAAAGAATCATTGATGAGGTAGAAGGAGACCCAAGACAGTGAACACCTGGACACCCCGTGAAGTCAGAGTTTCAAGGAGGAGAGAGTGAGCGACTGTGTAAAATGACACTGATAGATGCAGAGTAAAAGGAGGCCCCAGAACTGACCATGGGTTTGGTATCGTGGAGGTCACTGGGGGCTTTTCAAGAGTGGATTCTATGGAGGGTGGGGGAGGAGGCAAAAGTTTGATGACAGACTCTCAGAGAGAGATACTGTCTTAGTCTGTGCAGGCTGCTAGAACAAAATACCGTAATGGGGTGGCTCATAAACAGCAGGCACTTATTTTTCAAAGTTCTGGAGGCTAGGAGTCAGTGTGCTAGCATGTTCCAAGGTTCTGGTAAGGCCCTCCCCACTGACTGCAGATGCTGAATTTTTGTAGTATCTTCACATTGTAGAGGGGGTAAAGGAGCTCTCTGGGGTCTCTTATAAGGGCACTAATCCCATTCATGAGGCCTCTGCTCTCATGACTTAATCACCTCCAAAATCTCCCCCTTCCAAATACCATCACATTGGGGATTAGGTTTCAACACATGAATTTTGGGGGGACACAGACATTCAGTCTACGCAGATACTCCATAACCTTGGTCCTGAATTATTTCTGAAATGCTGTTTCCTGTCTCTGAGGCAGCCCAGGCCTTAAGTGGTTTTCTGCTCTAGCCTGTTCCTGCTGTTGCTGATAAGGTGCCTACAGGGCTATGTCCTGACTGGACCAGGCCTTTGCAGGCTGAGACATAGTGAGAAGTATGGGAGAAAGTTCTAGGACCTTGAGGGGTGGGGTTTGAAACTTCAAACTAGAATAAAGGCAATGGGGCTGGAGAAGAATGTGGCCATTCCTTAGTTCAGACCTTCTGTGACCTGCGGAGTCCAAGGCTCTGAGACCATTCTCAACACGTGAAGCTTTATTTTACACAGGGAGCTCCTGATACAGGTTGCATTTGAATGACGATTCCATGATTTAAAGTAAAGCTTAAAATCCACTAAAATCTAATCCAGTGACTGTGCATTAGACTATGGCTTCTACATATCATCTACAAAAAGGAAGCAGAATTTGGGGAGAAATGACTAATTTCAGGTCTGGGTCAGGGAAAGTACAAGGTTGACCTGATATAGCTGGTGACAGGAAGCAGGGAAGGGAGTGTGTTCAAGAACATTGGACCAGCTTGAAGGGGCTCCCAAAGGCAATAGCAGCTTGGAGCTGTGGCTGATTTGGGAAAATTTGACTGTCAAAAATATTAATGAACATGGTTGATTACAAAAACAATGATTAAAAATCCATTATAGTGATACTAAAATAATGAAATTACAGAAAGGGGAAAAACTTCTTTGTTCCTATTGGAAGTGACTCTTACAGAAGTGACTCTTCTTACTTGAATATTAAAGAGAAAAAAGATAACACATATCCTGCCTTTTTAGGAGGAACAATAATTCAGTCTCAATTGATAGGAAGCTCTTCTTTATAGAAGAAAACTAGCTAATAAATGAAGAAGGAATCATATAAGTTAGAAAATAGCTACTGTGTACCCTAAATGTAATTACTGAGTCAGAGAAATGATCAATGGATGCTAAAATCATGAGGAAAGGTTGTTGGGGAACAGGATATTTTCATATGCCAAAATATTACCCTACAGAAAACTGCAAAGAGAGAAAAAAATATCTATTTTTACCATGCAGAGATCTAGAGTTCATCCAAGTTAGCACTAGCAGCTGACATTCTGGACCTTCTGATATACTGCAACATGAAGTTGAGAGCATCACCTATGACATCCTCTTGTCAAAAATATTTTAACATGTTAAGCACCCAGTCAGTCACTGGTGACTGACACTATACTTTCCGTCCAGAAGAAAAAACAGGCTGGGCGCTTAACGTGTTAAGTGGAATCTACTCAAGAATTTAGATTTGCCTCCTAATTTACAGGAAATACAGAGACTAGAAGAACAAATAAAATGACACCATAAAAAACAACAACAATCAGACAAATCCAGAATATGGGAGAGTCCATGAGAAACTAGCTCAGTCTTTTTAAAAATTCAGTGTCATTAAAAAGTAAGCAAGGGGTTTTGTTTTAGATTGGAAAGAGAGTAAAGATCTATAACATCTAATGGTAGTTATTGAACTTGGATTAGATACTGTTTTGTTGAAACCAGGTATAAAAGGCAATTTGAATATGGTGAGGGTATTATAAAACTATTATTAATTTTTAAGGAATGAAAATAGTACATATTATAGTTATAATCTTATATTTTAAAAATATGTTTTATTGATTTTTTACAGAGAGGAAGGGAGAGAGATAGAGAGTTAGAAACATCGATCAGCTGCCTCCCGCACATCTCCCACTAGGGATGTGCCCACAACCAAGGTACATGCCCTTGACCAGAATCGAACCTGGGACCCTTCAGTCTGCAGGCCGACGCTCTATCCACTGAGCCAAACCGGTTTCGGCTATCATCTTATTTTTGAGAGATACATACTTAAGTAATTAAGGATACTTAATACTTAGGGTTGAAAGGTTGTTATGTCTGCAATTTATTTTCAAACAGCTTAGGAAAAACACTATATATATTTAATGTTTATATAAAACACTATAAATATATTTTATACATTATTTAATTCAATATACACAGATACATACTATTAACATTTGTTAAATTAGTTATATGGTTTGTTTACTGTACTATGCTGTCGACTTACTGATATATTTAAAATGCATCTTTATAGACAATCATGGTGGGGAAACTCATTTTATGGGCTCTCAGCCTCATCCCTGGCATCTGGGTCTCTTAAAAGACCACAGGTAAGTGATGCCCCCTCAGGGATGAGAACTACTGGCCCAAGGCCCACATTGAGCATGAAACTGAGGTCTAAAGAGTTGAACTGAGTTTCCAAGGAGCAGAACGAAGACTAGAATTCATGTTCCTAGCAGAAAGACACACACACACACACACCCCAGCAGCCATGTCTACACAGGGGCCTCTCATGCCAACTGTACTTCAGGGAGAAGCTGCATGGAAAGCGCCTAACTCTGACCCAGAAGGAGTGAGCCAGAGCCTGGCGTGCCAGCCCTGAACGCTAACAAAGCCTCCATCAAAAGGAAGGGGACGCAAACCCCCCTCACCACAAACACAAAACACCTGGCAAGTACAGCGCACAGGTGGAAGCAGGTCCGACCCCAGTTTACATCGGAGGGGCGTGGCTGCGGGCCACTTCAGACCGCCTCTTCCGGAACAGGCCTGTGCCCCGGAAGTAGTTTGCTGAGGGACCTTGGGCCGCTGAAGGAGGCTGTGGTGGTGCCGTCACCATGTTTCTGTCGGCTGTCTCCTGTAAGTGGGGCCGGAGAACGCGGCGGCGGCCAGGCCTGCGGCGAGGGCGGGGGCAGCGACAGGCAGGCCCCGCCTGGCAGGCCCCGGGAAAGGGG